TTAGTCATTTGGGCTTTCTCTTCTGTGAACTGCCTGCTCATTTCCACCATGTTCTTCAGACCCACTTAAAAAAAAAAAGAGGAGGCAGCACCCCTAGCTCACTGGGTAGGGCACCTGCCACATATACCCACACTGGCAGGTTCAGACCTGGCCCAGGCCAGCTAAAGAGCAGTTGACAACTACAACAACAACAGCAACAAATAGCCGGGTGTTGTGGCAGACGCCTATAGTCCCAGCTACCTGGGAGGCTGAGACAAGAGAATCACTTAAGCCCAAGAGTTTGAGGTTGCTGTGAGCATGACACCATGGCACTCTATAGAGGGTGACATAATCTTGGTTAAAAAAAAAAAAAAAGGCGTTTTTGTCTTGTTGATTTGCTGAGTTCCCAGTCTAGAAAAAAAATCTTTCTTTTTCTTTTTTGTTGTTATTGCAGTTCGCGTGGGGCTGGGTTTGAACCCGCCACCCTCTGTATATGGGGCTGGTACCCTACTCACTGAGCCATAGGTGCTGCCCCCACAAAATATCTTTCTATCAGGTGTTAACTTTATCCATAGTATCCTTTGGGGAACAGAAATCTTTTTTTTTTTTAGGCAGAGGCTCATTTTGTGGCCCTCATTAGAGTGCTATAGCTCACAGCAACCTCAAACTCTTGGCTCAAGCAATCTTCTTGCCTCAGCCTCCTTGAGTAGCTAGACTATAGGCACCTCCCACAACATCTGGCTATTTTTAGAGGCAAGTCTCACTCTGGCTCAGGCTGGTCTCCAACCTGTGAACTCAGGCAGTCCACCCACATCAGCCTCCCATAGAGTTAGGATTACAGGTGTGAGCTACATCGCCTTGCCCAGAAATCTTTAATTAAATAAAAGGTGACCAGGTGCTGTAATCCTCAGTACTTTGAAAGACTGAGATAAGAGGATCACTTGAATCCCTGCTTCTGCACAAACAAATTTTTTTTTAAGAGACTTTATTGTCCTCAATAGAGTGCTGTGGCATCACAGCTCACAGCAACCTCAAACTCTTGGGCTTAAGCAATTCTCTTGCCTCAGCCTCCCGAGTAGCTGGGACTACAAGTGAACCGCCACAGCACCTGGCTATCTTTTGTTGCAGTTTGGCCAGGGCCAGGTTCGAACCCACCACCCTTGGTATATATGGTGCCCTTCCTACTGAGCCATAAGCTCTGCCCTAACAAATTTTTTTTTTTTTTTGGTAGAGACAAAGTCTCACTTTATCGCCCTTGGTAGAGTGCTATGGTGTCACACAGCTGACAGCAACTCCTGGGCTTAGGCGATTCTCTTGCCTCAGCCTCTCGAGTAGCTGGGACTACAGGCATCTGCCATAACGCCCGGCTGTTGTTTTTGTTGCAGTTTGGCGGGGCTGGGTTTGAACCTGCCACCCTCAGTATATGGGGCCAGCGACTTATCTGCTGAGCCACAGGCACCACCCCATAAACAATTTTTTAAATTAGGTAAGGTAGGGGTGTGTACCTGTAGTTCTAGCTACTTGGGAAACTGAGATAGGAGGGTCTCTTGAGCCCAAGAGACGATGGCTGCAGTGAGCTATGATCATGCCACTGCACTCCAGTGTGAGTGATAGAGCAAGACCCTGCCTCAAAAATAAAGGAATAACTAACTAGCAAGCAACATAGATTTAATTGTTTATCCTAAGAGGATGAACCAGAAGAAAAATGCAGTCATCCCCAAGGACCCTCACAAGCTAGATCTGTATAACTTGCATTTTCTTATCCTAGTTTATACTAACTCAAAGAGCCATAATAAAATTCTAGATATTACCTAATCAAATGCTAGGTGTTAACCTATTTTTTTAAATCCTAACTTTTTTTTTTCCCCTGAAACAGAGTCTCACTCTGTTGCCCCTGGTGGAGTCCTGTGGCATCATAGCTCATAGCAGCAGTCTCCAACTCCAGGGGTCAAGCCATCCTCTTGCTTCAGCCTCCTGAGCAGCTGGGACTACAGGCACCCACCAAAATGCCCAGCTAATTTTTCCATTTTTAGTAGAGATAGGGTTGCTCTTGTAGGCTGGTCTTGGAATTCCTGAGCTCAAGAGATCCAACTGCCTTGGCCTCCCAGAGTGCTAAGGTTATAAGTAAGAGCCACTACACCCCACCTCTTTCTCTTTTTAAAATTGGGCCAGCTATTTGAAGACCTACCATGATTTTTTTCTTGTAAACATTAGAATGAACTTTTCTGGTTCCGTAAAACATTCATTTGCAATATTGATTGAGATTATACTGAATTCTAGATCAATGTGGGGAGAATTGGCATCTCTAATATCATCCAACTACAAATATGATATAATCTATCTGTTTAGTCAGATTGTCTTTTATGTCTTTTAGTAGAGTTTCAAAATTCTTTGATAAGGACTCATGCACTAAAAATAGAAAAACTAACTGGGTACTATGGTGGGTACCTGTGGTCCCCGCTACCTGGGAGGATTCCTTGAGCCCAGGATTTTGAAGTTGCTGTGATAATGCAGCTCTACCCAGGGCGGCAGAGTGAGACTCTGTCTCAAAATAATAAATAAAATAAAA